CCCCCCCCCCCCCCCCCGCCCCCCCTCCCCCCCCCCCCCCCCCCCCTTCTCCTCTTCTCCCCCCCCCCCACCACCGTCTCCTCTTCTCCCCCACTGTCCCCTCCCCCACACATAATCACTGGGTACCACTGCAATGTCAGTACTGTTAAAAAGTCTGATTCATATTCTATTCCACATTTGGAAGACTGTATTGAGAAAGTGGGGTGAGCAAAGTTTTATATTTAAAAGTTGGACTTACTCAGAGGGTACTGACAGGTACCTTTATCTGAAAGAGTGAAGGATATTTCTGCTTTCATGACACCAAATGGCCTGCACCAGTTTAATGTTGTTCCATTTGTTACGAAAAATGCACCAGCCACATTTTCAAAGTCTAACCTATAAAGTCATTTTGGGATTACTCAATTATGTGGTTTACATCAATGATCTGGTGATGCTTAGTCACAAAGGAAGGAACATTTGGAGCATCCATCGGAATTGTTTGATCAACTTCAGGAGGTGGTCTTGGTGACGAACCTGGCTAAGAGTGAGTTCGCAAACGCCCATGTCATATTCCTGGACCATGTCATTGGACATGGACGGATGGCCCCACAGAAAGTGAAAACAAAGGTTATTCGGGAGTTTCCCGCATCATCGACGATTTCTGGGACTGAGTGGTTTTAATTAGACATTCATACCGAATATTAGTGGTGCGGTTGCTCCACTGACTGATTTATTGAAGAAGTGCAGAAAATCTTAGTGGGCAGAGACATATCAGAAGGCATTTGACAGCCTGAAAGCTGTATTAACCCCTGCCCCAGTGTTAGCTACACCTAATTACGCAAACCCATTCAAGGTGGCGGTTGATGTGAGTGATGTGGGTGTCAATGCTGTGCTCTTGCACAATGATGAGAATATAGAAAGATCTGTTGGGTATTTTGCCAGAACATTGAATAATCATCAACAGGAATATTCCACAATTGAGAAGGAGACCTTGAGCTTAATGTTGACTTTGCAACATTTCAACATTTATATTTCCAATAGTGTGTCTGAGACAACAATATATACTGATCTTAAGTCCTTAAAGTTTTTGGGAAAATTTAAGGATAAAAATACCCGACTGTTTAGATGGAGCTTATTATTGCCTGATGGTTATCTTTATAATCCCTGGTGCTTTCATTCAGATTTTGCTTAGCTGCCATTCCAAAACAGTAAATGCAGAGTTGATGTTTTTGATATACAGCATTACAATAAGCTTTGAAAAGTAGGAAGGAGCACCCAAATATGAAAATCTAATATTATTATAAAAACTCATTCAATAGTGGGTTATTTGTGAGATGTTAAAGATGTATGTTCATATAGTATTTGACCTATTTAAATCATTTAAAATGTTCCTATTAAAATATGTTTTAAATGATGTTCATAAATATTTATAGATCTTGATCAATTTTGATCTTCCAGGGTACAAGAGAAAACTAGATACCAGTACTTATCTTTTGGTAAGTCCAATGTTTAACACTGTCTGATTTCTCCTTGTTCTTTATTCAAACACAACTTGGGTGAATTAGGAATCTACCTTCTGACTATGCTGTCTGAGGGAACTTGTGTCAAAATGATGACTGGATACTCAGGAACACCACCTGCATCTTAACTGATGGCGTCTAACTTTTTTTAGTGTTAATTAATTGTACTTTTGAGTATTGTTTTAAATTTGTTTCATGAGCAGAAATACCATTTTGAAATCTTTCATGTTAATGAGATGGCACAGGGATGGAGGCTTACCATTTGTGTTGTAGACAGTAATTAAAAGAAACTTGGAGATCTGTAACAGTAGCATAGAGTGATAAGATGTAAGATTGTTATTACTGTTTCTATTAAACAATAGATTATTGACCTTAGTGGTGGCAAGGCTTTCCCCTTTGCAGAGGATTGGAGGAAGAGTCAATCAAACAATTCATACAATTAAGAACAAAATACAGATGCTAGAAATCTGAAATAAAAACAAAAAATGCTGGAGAAACTTGGATCGTTTGACAGCATCTATGGAGCAAGAAACAGAATTAAGGTGTTTCCAATTTCAAAATGGGTGACGGAGGTTACCATCTTCCTCCAATGCTAACCATTCTGTCCTGGGCCTGTTGCAGTGTTCCACTAAAATTTAACACGAGCTGTAGTAACTGAAACTTAATGACTACTTAGGCACCTTATAGCCTCTAAATGTAAAAATTGAGTTCAACAACTTCAGAGCAGAAGGTCGGTCTTTCATTTTGATTACAATTCCTATCCCCCCCACCTTGTTTGTAAGTTGTTAGCTTTGATCCTTATCCTTTTACACACCTATTCATGCCTATTCTACATCTCAAACACTTCTTTACCACCATTAACACTCCCTTTAACTTTTGTTCTAGGCACCCTCCCCATCTGTACCACTTGCTTTTCCTTTGTCAATGGCATAAAAATGGCATTTTCCATTTCCATTCAATTCAAACAAGAGTGATATCAGATTCTGAAATGTTAACTCTGTTTCTCTTTTCAGAGATGCTGCCAGGCTTGCTGAGTTTCTCCAGCATTTTCTTTTTTGATTTAAAACAATTTGTGAGTTCATTCTCAAATGAAAACAGAAATTGCTGGAAAAGGTCAGCAGGTCTGGCAGCATTTGTGGAGAGAAATCAGAGTTAACGTTTCATGTCCAGTGACCCTTCCTCAGAACCTGAAACTCTGATTTCTCTCCACAGATGCTGCCAGACCTGCTGAGCTTTTCTAGCAATTTCTGTTTTTCTTTCTGATTTCCGGTATCTGCAGTTCTTTCGGTTTATCGTGCGTTCATTCTGTTTGCTAATCGTATACATTGGTCTACCATGAAATAAGCCAGCTTTAAAAAGTATATATCTGTTCATTCTTTGTGTTGATCAGTGAATAGATGACATCAGATTTTGTATTATTAGATCTTGGGTTGTGTGCTACCCTCTGTGTTTCTTCTTAGTGGTGCTGAACATGGAGAAGCACTGATTCATCAACGGTGGTGAGGGAAATAGGTGATAATCAGTTGGAAGTTTCTTTGCCCAAATTTGACCTGATGCCATGAAACTACGTGTGGCTTGGAGTTAATGTTGACTCCCAAACCACTCTCTCCTGATAGTGCTGCCACATCTGCTGGGCTATGTTCCTTCTGTTTTCTCCAGCCACTCTACAGACTTCCATGGTCCATGTGCAGCAGTGGCAGAGAACTGGAATGAATGCATCAGAACACCAAGTGGCCCCTCGCATCCACTGCACAGCTTAGAGGGAGCATTCCTGCAGAATCTGTCCTGCCACCTGGACAGAACATTAACCAGGAATGGCACTGGAGAATCTGGGGCATTGGCTGTGAAGGATTGATTAATTAATTGATTTATTGTCACGTGTACCGAAATACAGTGAAAAGTTGTGTTTACGAGCCATACAGGCAGATCACAGCAAGCAAAGGATGCATAAACTTAGAGGCATACAGGTTACTTTGCAGGTTACACTAATTGAGGCTAGAGTCCATTCAACAGTCTGATAAGGGCTAGAAAGAAGCTGTTCCTGAACCTGCTCATGCATGTGTTCAGGCTTCTGTATCTTCTGCCTGACGGAAGAGGTTGTAGGAGGTCATTACCAGGGTGCCATGGGTCTTTGGTGATGTTGGCTGCCTCTTCGTGGCAGCGAGCCATGTAAATAGAGTCCGTGAATGGAAGATTGGCTTCCGTGATGGTCTGAGCTGTGCACACCACCTTCTGTGATTTCTTATGGTCCTGGGCAGAGCAGTTGTCATACTAGGCTGTTAGGCACCCGGACAGCATGCTTACAGTGGTACTTCTGTAGAAGTTTGTGAGGGACCTCATAGACATGCCAAATTTCCTCAGCTGCTTGAGGAAGAAGAGGCATTGTTATGCCTTGACTGTCGCATTTACTCGGGAAGTCCTGGACGGGTCATTGGTTATCATCACTCCTAAGAACTTTATGGTCTTCTCTCTCGCAACCTGAGTTCCGTTGATGTCGATGGGGTGGCGCGTACTCCTCCTTTATTTCTGAAGTCAGTGATCAGTTCTTTAGTTTTACCGACGTTGAAAGACAGATTGTTTCCAATGCACCATGTCACCAAGCCTCTATCTCCCTTCTGTATTTTGACTTGTCTTTGTTAGATATCTGCCCCACCACAGTGGTTTCAACAGCAAACTTGTAGATGGCGTTCATTTGGAATTTGGCAACACAGTCGTGGGTGTACAGGGAGTACAGTAGGGGGCTGAAGGCACATCCTTGGCGGCCTACAGTGTTGTGTGTTATTGTGGCGGAGTTGCAGTTACCTACCCTCACTGTAGCCTATGGGTCAGAAAGCTGAGGATCCAGTTGCAGTGGGCGGAGCTGTGACAGAAGTCATGCAGTTTTGAGATCAGTCTGGAGGGGATAATGGTGTTGAAGGCAGAGCTGTAGTCAACGAGCAGGAGTCTGACGTAGGTGTCTTTGTTGTCCAGATGTTCCAGGAATGAGTGCAGGGCTTGGGATAAGACATCCTCTGTGGACCTGTTATGTTGGTAGGCAGATTGTCGGGGATCGAGGCAGTTTGGGAGGCTGGTGTGGGCCATGACCAGCCTCTCAAAGCACTTCATGATTATCAAAGTCAGAGCTATTAGGCAGAAGTCATTAAGGTACACTGCTTGTATTTTCTTGGGTACGGGGTTGATGGTGGTCTTACTGAAGCAGGTGGGGACTTCGGCTTGTAGGAGGGAGAAGTTGAAGATGTTGGTGAATACCTCCGCCAGTTGGTCTGCACAGGATCTGAGTACTAACTTTGTCAGATTGTTACTTGACTAGTCTATGGGACAGCTTGGCCAAGAGCACAAGCACCCAGTTATTAGTGAGGAGAACTTTACAGGGTCAACAGGCCTTTGTCATTTTTGGTGCCTAAGTTTATCCCAGGTAATCAGTCCAGTTTTATTATTTGACTTTTCTGTAGCTTTTTGATAAAACTAATTGCTAGGCGATTTCAGAGCACATTTAAGAGGTATAGTTGCACTTACAGCAACGGATAATTATCTAGATTAATGCAGTGGTATCCTTGCTGTAAGTTGGAGGTTGGTGCTGGCAATTCATTCAGATTTTTGGAGATTCTCACCATGCTACTGGGGAAGGACTCGACATCAACGTAGCTCAAACTTGTGCTTGTCACTTACTTGAAGATATAAGTAATGACTTTACTCTTTGAAGCAGAACAAAATGCATTCTTTTGAAGTTTAGTTGCTTCCACACAATTAACTTTCAAAACAGTGAAGGGAAAATGGAATTTAAATAATGTTTAACATAGTGTGCTGAAGAAAAGCAGCGGTATGACAGCAGCTGTAGAGACAAAACGGAGTTAAAAGTTTCAAATCCACTGACTCTGCCAGTTTTGAAGGTTCACTGGATTCAAAAAATTAAACTTTTTTACTTGCTATTGAAACTGTTATACCTTTTCATGTCAGATTGTTAATATCCACAGTTCCTTATGTTTATTTAAATAATATATGCTCTGATCTACTTTGTGATTTGCATCAGTCTTCAGTACTCCATGGGCAGTATTGATGATTGACTGTTTAGTCAGACTCACTGAAAATACCTAAAGGGCAGACCTATCATTGGAAGTGCAGGTTCTATTCAGCCTAAACGTAGATCTATCATAGATGCAAGTTTCATAGTGAATAGATTGTTTTAGCTTGGTTCTAGCAAAATTAATTTCAACATCCTGCACAGTTTGCTGCCAACTTGATCCATATTCTTCAGTCTCAGAACCAAGTTTCTGATGTTCAGTATGTACACTATGCTTGGGAGGAGTTGTCAGTGTTTTATTTTGGAAATTAATTGAGACTAAATTTCCTCAT